TTATAATTTATACTTAACAATTATCTGCTTACAGTTTGTCAAGTGTGGATATGCAGGAGCAAACTTTCCAGCGCATATATTTCCATCAATAGTTGGACGTCCAATAATCAGAGCAGTCAATAAGATAGGAGACATAGACGTCAAGGTAGATTTTTCAATTTTTCAAGCATAATTAAAGGAATTAGAATATTTCTCATAATTCATTTCATTATTTGCGATTTGATTGTAAATATGATTTGTGGACAAAATTTGGTTGTTTTAAACTTAGTATGTGTTCCTTGTATTTTATAAAAATATATGATTTCAATAATTGAGATAAACAACTTTAATTATGCACTTTTATGAGGAGACTTAAAAGTTGAACTTTTCTCATTTTCATTGTTAAACTTAGAAGTATCTTCTCGCTATGGAAAAATACCTGTAGTTAATAATTTTCAAGCAATATATTAATAACTCGCTTAATTTTCAGCAAGAATATTGTATTCGTGTAAGTCAATTCACATTATGCAGTGTGCTTCAATGTTTAAATTTGATTGAAAATAATCCATGCATTTGTCCACTGATGTAAATAAAGTTTGACTTGCTAATCCTTTTCACTAACAAATATCAGAATGGAGTGTACATGTGAAAAGTAAGATGGCTATTATTTTTAAAAATACTAGACTATATAACAATTTATATAGAAATTTAATTAATCAAAGTTATTCTTTTTGTTGTAATTGTCTGTGGTTAATTTACCCACCACATTCTCAATTACCATTTTGCAGCCATTATTGAATCCATAAAGAATATGCAATATTAAAAGAGATAAGAACATTTATCTAGTTGATATCTATATCTATGTGTGTGGGTTTATGTGTATATTGTATTTTTATAATTATCTAATATATTTATGTGCTTACACTTGCTCTCATAGGATGTGTTTCACATGCCTGTAAGTTTCTTGCATTTTTTGATGCTAATATGTACATCTGTCAGTACTAAATCAGTGCTTAAAGAACTAAAACGTTTACTCACCTATTAGTAGGGTTTATGTAGTTTTTGTAGCTTTCTTTTTTCTTATACATGTGAAGATATTTAAGTACCTGGTATTATTATTTCTAAACGAATATACAAATATTAGAAGGAGAAAGGTAATGTACTCGTTAGTAATCAATTTTCTGTAATAAAAACTGAAAGAAAAATTATTTTTTATGCAGATGAAAAGACTTCACATTCATCTTTGTAGTTATGTACATTCTAAATAACATAAACTGTAAGGCACTAGAATGATTTGTTGAATTATACAAATACTAATAATTTATGTTAATAAAATATATATACATATGTATATTCAGGACACATAGTTACGTTTGAGTCATTGTAATTTACTATCACAGGATTTAATGGTTGGAGATGAAGCAAGCAAACTTCGATCTATGTTAGAAATTAGTTACCCGATGCAAAATGGAATTGTTAGGTGAGTATGCAAATGTATCTAATCCGCATTGTATTATAAATTATTAAATTGCTAATTCATCTAACAGAAACTGGGAAGATATGTGTCATGTGTGGGACTATACATTTGGAAAAGAGAAAATGAACATCAATCCTAAAGAATGTAAGATCTTGTTAACAGAACCACCAATGAATCCTATTACGAATAGGGAGAAAATGATTGAGGTAAAACAAATACAGATACAAACTTTTTTCATGAAAATCTAAATGTAATTAATTATGTATTGTATAAAATGATTTTAGGTAATGTTTGAAAAATATGGCTTTGCTGGAACGTACATTGCAATTCAAGCAGTACTTACATTATATGCTCAAGGATTGATTAGCGGTGTTGTAGTAGATTCCGGAGATGGAGTCACTCATATTTGTCCTGTGTTCGAAGAACGTGCTTTACCTCATCTTACTCGACGACTAGATATAGCTGGTCGAGATATCACAATGCATTTAATAAAACTTCTTTTATTACGTGGTTATGCATTTAATCATTCAGCTGACTTTGAAACAGTTAGGATGATGAAAGAAAAGTTATGTTATATTGGATATAATATCGAAACTGAGGAGAAATTAGCACTCGAGACGACAGTCTTAGTCGAGTCTTATACCGTAAGTAAAAGTTAGTCGTATTGTCAGAGAACATAAATGTAACTTATATTTACTTGTTCATTTTGTAGCTTCCTGACGGAAGAGTAATAAAAGTAGGCGGTGAAAGATTTGCAGCGCCAGAAGCATTATTTCAACCACATTTAATCAATGTTGAAGCGCAAGGAATAGCTGAATTAGTATTTAGTACTATACAAGGAGCTGCTATTGATATAAGGAGTGAATTATACAAACATATTGTTTTAAGTGGTGGTAGTACAATGTATCCTGGTCTTCCATCTAGACTTGAAAGAGAAATTAAGCAGCTTTATCTACAAAGAGTATTAAAGAACGATACTTCAAAATTAAATGTAATTATAACGAATTTATTTTCATTTCAGTTTCATTGTAAACTAAGATATATATTTATATATTGTTCAATGTGTTTCCAGAAATTCAAGATAAAAATTGAAGATTCTCCAAGGCGTAAAGATATGGTTTTCATGGGCGGTGCAGTATTAGCAGAAATAACAAAAGATCGGGACGCAGTGTGGATAACTAAGGAAGAATATGAGGAAAAAGGTCTTAGTGTATTAAAGAAATTACGCTCTTATAAATAATAAAGAAAATAGTAATTGAAATATAGAAAACAAATACACATTTTTTATATCCGAAGTCACTTAAAAAGTATTTGCAGTTTTTGTATTTTGCTTTCACTACTGATTTATGCAAACTTATTGTCTTAAACTTGTACAAGTGACAAACATAATTGAGAATTCTTAAAAATATTAAAATTTCTAATCGGACTTAATTTCATTTTATATACACTAACATACAATTCTATTACATTTGAAATTGATAAGTATATATTTATATATTTGCCATGATGAATAGCACATTTGTAGATTATATACATTGTAAATATGATTGTCACAAACACTCACTTTCTTTTTTATCAAACTGAAATGAACTTTGACTGTCCATGGATATACGTTGTGCATTGCAATCAATGTATATCTATTTTTTTTTAAATTCACAGCGGTTTTTATGAAATTCAATGTATTGTATGTATAATCACGTTAGAAAACAATTGATTAATATAATGGCTAAAATTAAGTAATTAAAATTGTAAATATTATATTATAATAAAAATATAAAATTCTACTTTTATGTGTAAAATACAGAACTGGAATAACTAAATGCATTTATTACACTGTATTTGTTTTTATAAGATTTTAATGATTTTAGTTTTCAATTAAATATACATTTCTAAACATGTGCATATGTTGATCTTAAATTTTGGCCATTATTGTAATTCATAATAATTAGTTTATAAGAAGTCAAAAACACAATATATATCTTTACATCAGGACTCCATAATTGGAACAAGAAATTTTGTTTGAATTTAAGTTAAATTTTATCACACATCATTTTTTAAAAATGTATTTAAAAACATGTAGTACATAGTACATTTAAATAATTCAAAGTTGTCAAAAAAAACATAAACTTCAATTAACTCAAGTTAAATAGAGGGTATGAGGTAAAACTATTTTGTACGATGTACATACATGATATAGAATAGTTTTATAATTTTAGTTAAATAATTTATAGAAATAAATTTATTTCTTATGAAACCTTTTCCTTAATTTGGTTTAACAACCTGTACATATATAATTATTAAGATTGTATAAACTACGAGTTTTTCCTACTTAATATATTTAAGTCAAGAAATTTTATTGAGATCATGATATAAATGCCATGTTAAAAAATTGGATAAAAGTAAAAGATACAATATGATTAAGACAAATCTACAACAGTCTTTATTATGTTTCTCCATTTGACCTTTAAATTGTGTATCATTGTACACATTTTTATGTATAAATAAAAATAACAATATAATTTGTATTATACAGTTTCGTATTTAATTTGATATATAATGTAACAATAGATAAATATATATATGTAATTGTTTTGTTAAGATTTTTACAAGTGGCTTGCGATAGCATTCTGTATAACAATAAAATAACAAGCTGTTGTTCAAAGAAGTAAATATAATTTATAAACAGTGCTTCAGCGCGTGTGTTCCACATTACAAAGTTTATCTTGGAAGTGTATACAATATTTCTTTACACTTTAATAAATCACTTTCAATGTAACAGTTTGTATCCTGTTCCACTAAGCTATATATATATTTTTTCATATTAAGCAAATAAAAAAAAAATAGTATACAAAACACTTTCATTTATACTAGGAGAGTTTTCCGTTTCAAATTTCTGTAGTATATAACTTCTGATTTGTTGTCTTTGATATATTGATACATCACGAACGTGAAAACGCTTCGATGCAGTAAAATAAAGAATTGGATGGAAAATGTGAAATATCTATCAATTACACTTAAAATGTAATCGGTTTATCTTTACACTGATCAATACAAAAATTAGTGAAACGTTTAAGGAACTTTGGGTATTCCCTTTTATAAACAGCACGTAAAACAGATGCTGGAGCCCATCCACCAGGATTTACTACAGTCAACAGATAAGAGCATTAGATATGTAATAAATTATACGTATCGATCTACGATGAAATAAATTAAACAAGAAATATTTAATACTAACCAACAGAACAGTATGTTATTTTGCACGTAATATTATCTCTTTTTATTTCTTCTTCATCTTTTGGAGGATCAATAAAGGTTTGACATACAAGACACACAGTCAGATAAACTCTTACACATTTTCCTGTGTTTGGCTGCAATGTAAAGCATTTTATGATAGATTAATTTTCTATTCGAAATTGAAAAAATTTGAAATATTTCTAAAACTCACAGGATGATCGGGATGTTCTGTACTATGATTACAAACTATCCATAAATCATGTGCATCTGGATCTTCATCGTCAGATACTCGACGCATATGTGACCAAAATAGCGCATCTCTCTGACTTGCTGGCCAAATTCGCTTATGCGTTTGTAGAAATACTAAAGTATCTTTGGAAATATTTTCGACTACGGTCATGTCTTCGAGAGTTGCTTCCCAACCTGTTCTGTATTCAGGACTGAAGAATATCTCGCAAACTTCATGGCCAGTAACTCCTTTTACAACATGGCATGCCTTTAAAGGATCTACTACCAAGCCATCCGCTTCTTCTTCTCGTCTGTACATCCGCATGTCACCGTCTTCGGCGAACAATTGCCATCCACCGGCTCCTACCCCAAGTCGTGCATAATGCAACTGTTGCATCGTTATTTTTTCTATCTGCACGTGGATAAAGCATAAATGAAAAATGTAGTATTGTTCAGATGCAATGAGTATGGTTATAAAAATAAAGCAATACCTCTGGCCAGAGTCTATGCTTGGCTGCTGACATGGTAGGAGTAGTTAAAATTGAAACTGACTTTTGTTTCAAACGATCTCTTAGTTGATTTTCTTCGTCAATTTTATCTAGTCCAGTCTCTACTGCATCATAAAATTCTTCGTCACAGAGAGCACTATGTGGACCTTCCTGGAAAATTAAATTACATTTTAATTACAGAATCAAACTTACCATTTACATGACATATTTATAAATACTTTCTGAATTTTTATATATTATTAATTTATATAATCAAACCTCATAATCTGGACCTCCGTGGATAAGAAGCCTAGGTCTTGGCGAATCAGTTTGTTGTGTTCCAACTTGATCCTTTAAAGATTTGTAAAGTTCTTGCACTTTTCGTTTTTTTTCAACTTCTTTTTCCCATCTACGACGCCATGCATCTTCTCGTTGTACCATTAATTCCACACAATGCTGTAATGTTGCTAATACACCTTCGCTAGTTGCTTTGAATGTTATTGCTTCTCCCTTAAAATCTACTGCCTGTTCAGCTGGATCAAACATTGTCTCAACTTTATTTTCTGAAATAAATAACACTTTCTTTCACCCATAATTAAAAACCTCTATTTCCCACAAAGGCCATTAACTTAACATCAATGCCTATAAAAACATTATGAAACAAAAAACACTATAAAACAAATGAATGTGTGTATACAGAAATTATCAATTTATGTACCTTTCGTGGGAATATTCTTAGCATTCTCTGCACAATTGTCAAAATACTTTTGCAAAGTGTCAATCTGTTTGATCAAGATATCCCTAAAGGTTTCAAGTTCTGCTAATTTTTCTTTCAACCCTCTAACACCACGTTTAGTAAAGCTACCTGCACTTGTAATAGATTGTGTATTAGACACAAGTGAAATGGCACTACCATGACGTTTCAGACTATTTTCGCTTCCATAACCAGACTCCGACTGTTTAAAACAACAACAAACACAGTTTTAGCATATCATAAAACATTTATTACTGACATTGTATATTGTAATATTATAATACCTTGTAAGATTTTAGAACATCTACCCAACGTTGCTTTTCTTCTGGACAATTTGCTCTTAAATACCATACAAGGCAATCGTTTACAGAGACATCAAATCTACATTCATCGAATTCGTGCGCCTAACAAAACAGGTGGTAAAGAGTGATATCATGATCTTTTTCATGAAATTACAAGAGAATATACAATGCTAATTACTTTATGTCAGTTCGTACCTTAATATTAGCTTTATACAAACTTATTGAACCACGACATCCAAATCCACTGTCCTGCTCAGATTTGTAATAAGATAAAGTACCATCTTTGAGAACAATAAATCTAGTTTGCCAGCCATGTATATAATTTGTCCATTTGGATAATGTACCCTGAAGCTCTGGAACAACAACCCCGTCGGAACCTTCTTCATCTACATCATCACCGTCTATCTCTGCTTCCAGACACTCGATATCTTCGGCAAGACGAACCATTTCTGTTTCATCGGCCATTCTCACGAGTGAATTTCACAGTTTCGACGTTGATTGTTCTTTAGGATAAACTCAACATACCCGAAGGAATATATTTAACGTTACTGACACGGGCAAGTCTATCGATAACTGGTTACTCAATTAATCAGTTTAAAATTTGCAAGGTAATCAACCAGTGATTGAACGCGGACAACGTCTCAGAACATGTCGATCATCAATTATCATGTACATAACCTTATGTAAAACGCCTTATCAAATGAATGAAACATCAACAGCTTGTATTTTTTTAGCAAATAACAAGAATTAAGTGGCAGATAGAAAATCAACAGTTTCACTCAAGCAGTATTTTCATGAGTAATGTGTGCACTTGTATATAATCTTCGTTGATTGGTGGTAATTTTATAAGTAGTATAATTTATATATTTTGTAAATATATTTATTAACAATTTTATATGCTCATTGTTATTTCGTCTAAGGAATTGTACATTATTTTGAGTTAACAATGAAAATAAATAACGGGAGAAGAGTACAGTCCAGTATTGTTTTTTTTCTACACGATGGAAATGAATACATATAGACGCAGTTCGAGAATCGACTAAAAGTGTCGATAATTGTATCGAAAAGTGTATTATGGTTTGAAAGCTATTTAGAGACCGCCAACTTTAGTAGATCATCACGAATACACGTGAGAGAATTGTTGTTCAATTGGCAGTGTTCACTGAAATAATGATATTTGCGGTATTTATCATTTTATTTTGCGTAGTATCGGATGCTACAGTACACAGATTAAACGTGCCCAGGGTATTGTTGCCCGTATTTAATGATTTTGCTGTGAATTTTACTCTAGAAGTTACTGACGGTGCTTGTTATCAATGGTAATCGTTATTTATTTTGTAATATTAATTGTATTATTTTATTACTTATTCACGTAGAACTTTCATTCATGTAAAAACACTCTTATTACTGATCTTTTAACTTTCAATCTTCTTTTAAAATGTATATACATATTTAATTTTTCATGTAACCCTTTACAATGTATGCATGTAATGTTTATTTTCCAAATTTATGTGAGAAAAAGAATGTAATTTGTAATATAATTATTGTATCTTCAAAGTCGGATATTATTGAAATAAGAAATTGTATTTTCATAAGCGTTACAGCAAAATTCATATATTAATTTCAGGTCAACATCGCGTTTGGATATCATTCAGCTAATTCCTATAAATGAAAATGTTGAGAGGACTTGTTCTTCGGCTATTTTGATTCAAACAATAACAAGGGAATCCACTAGAAATACAGCAATAGTGTTAGCAGAAGATGTGAATACAGGACAGTTTTTAAGGTGTGACGTTATTGTGGATGCAATCTTTTCTTTAAATCTTGTTACGACCACAAGAGAATTATATATAGAAGAAGCACCAGAAGCATTTGAAGTACGAGCCTATGATGAACAAGGTAAATAATCTTATTTACATATATCCATTATATTATTTTGAATTTATTATACTTATTAAATTATGTTATGGTTCTTTCTTAGGAAATGAATTTACAACTCTCGCAGGAGTTGAATTTCTTTGGCATATTGAGAATGCCGATAAACGTATTACAGATGGCAAAACTCCAAATGATATTTTAAGATTCATGACTTATCAGGAATCACAATATGAAACTCCTCCAACTGTCGCTGCTTTAGATGCAGTTGGTAAGAAGGGACATATTGTACTATTAGAAGGAATAAAAACTGGTACAGCGAAGGTATAGATATGCTGCATGTAAACACATATATTATTTTTTCACAAAATTCTATAATTTTGTCTAACCATAGGTTTCAGTGAGACTACCATATCCAGAATATAAACATGTACCACCGATAGAAGTAGAACTGATCGTAATAGCTAATTTAATTATCATTCCATCAGACATAACAGTACTGGCACATGACAGTTTTAAATATAAAATAATGCAAGTTAGTGTTTAGTGTACATGTAATATATTTTGTTAATATTGTTTTATTTATTAACTACACGTGAATTATGTTTAGGCTCGTCAGGGTCGATTAGAAGAAATAAGTTTACCATCCAGTCAGTATTATTTGGAAGCTGAACACCCAGGCATATTAGATATTGATAATGATCATGATTGTGCATATGCCCGATCCTTAGGGCGCACTAAAGTGTTCTTACACGATAAAAACGTTCGCGACGAATATCCTGTTATTTTGCCATCAGCTACAGTCAATGTGAATTATGTAGCTTATATTAATTTTGCAGTTTTGCCTAACAGAAATTGGGGTCTAATACTTGGTCATACTCATGAAATTATAGTTGAGTTGTATGATAATAAAGATCATAAGTTTCACATTGGAGAAGGTGTAGAAGTATTGATGAAGCTAGATGAACAATATTTTGAACCAAAATTAATAACACAAAATGGTACTTATGCTATTGGTGTGCCTATTATGTGTGGAACAATGACTATTGAAGCTACTCTTTATGGTATAATTGATAAGCATGGTAAAAAGATTCCTCTCGCATCACATCCTACTACCAGAGCAGAACTTTTAATTCACACACCAGTCACTGTTCAGCCTAAAGTACTGGCTGTTCCATGGGACTTCAAGGCTAAATCACGGTAAAATATTGTTATTAAATTACCGTTTTATAATACTGGTATTTATAACATTCTACAATTCTGTTATTTTATAGGTATGACATAGTATTAAAAGCAAGTGGAGGAGATGGATCATATGTATGGTCAAGTAGACATCCATCTATAGTGACAGTCTCTCAGAATGGAGGGATTAGAATTTTGGCTGCAGGGGTTACTGAAATAAGTGTTGCAATGACAAGAAATCAATATAATAAAGGTACAGCAAAGGTGTATGTTTTACCACCGTCAAAATTAAAAGTGGTGGAATACAGTATGGAAGCAGCAGTAGGAGAACCAATTTATCTCCACATTGCATTGTATGGAAAGCTAATTAACGAAACGGACTCTAAAGAAATACCTTTCAGTGATTGTAGAGATATTACTTTTGAAACATACATTCCAGACGGTAATTTTATACAAAACGATAGTAAATTTATAGAACCTGTCGGCACTGCATGTGCTGTTATAGCAGTCACAAGTGTAGATGTTGGAAGGTCTGAAGTAACAGTGGTATACAATGCAAATGGTCAATATTTGACTGATAACGTTACTGTGTCGGCCTACGAACCTTTAGAAGCAGTACATCCAAGTAGTCGTGAAACTTTGTTAGCTGTAGGATCTTCTAGAAAAATAGTGTTCAGAGGCGGACCCCATCCATGGTCTAATAAACCTCAGAGTTACTCGCGAAAAGTTCAAGTATCTGAAAAAAAGATTGTCGAAGTAACAGAACATGGCGATTTATTGGGTGGATTATATAAAGTATCGGTAATTGAAGTAATGTGTAAAGCATTGGGCGAAGTGCTTTTAACGTATACAATTTCAAATATCCCTTTATTGCCGAACTGTAAAAATACACATGCAACGGAAATAGTACGAATTATTTGCGGCAAACCAAGGTATATATACCTACAGCCTGAATTCAAAGACAGTAAGAATTGTCCTATCAGTCTTAATACAGAAAGAATAATGGCACACGGCGATAAAAAACTAAAACTTATCACTATCGTGAAAGACGAAGAAGGAAGGACTTTTGACAACATTACAAGTCTACACATTGATTGGAACTTAAAACCTTCATCTATAGGTTCTCCAGAAATGTCTTCAGGTTCGATAGAAGAAACGTTCACAGATATGAACGTAATTTTACCGAAACATTATTATCAAAACATTGTGTTTAAAAAGCATTTTGGCTCTCTTACATTAACAGCTACGGTTACTGGTTATCAAAAGAATATTTTGAGCAAATTAAAAATTATACCTGAATGGCCACCATTTGCAATTGAAACTGAAAGGAGGATCTATGAGACTCCACGTATACAAGCTTCTATAGAAATAGTTTTAGTTAATGATACCAGCATTAATCCTAATAAATTAATGGTACTGAACGAACCTAGTGCAAAATATTATTTACAAGTCAGCCAAGGTTCTGGTTATTATGAATTTGTATTGAGCGCGGATGACATCGCAGATGTTCATTACATAGAGTCGACTAAAGCAATTGGTATTACTCCAAAGAAATCGGGAATATTGAACTTAGCCTTGGTAGACCTTTGTTTGCCGTCGAAACCGGCTGAAGCTGTTATCGAAGTACAACAACTTGCTGTTATAGAAATAGAAACGGTGAATAAAATTGAGAAAGGAAAATGTATAGTTGCCGCATTACAACTTTATGACACAAATGGTCACATTATAAAATTGCCATCTTTGAATGCATTAGAATTTAAAGCAGAAGTTGATAATGAATGTATAGTTGTTAAACAATTGCCTGCTAATGAACATGGTAATCCTCCTTATAGTCAACTATTGTATACAATATATGGTATGGTAGAAGGAGAATCTCAACTAACTTTCATAAGTAAAGGAGGTGATAGAGAAATACAGAGTGAATCAGCAACCGTTCAAGTTTTTCTTCCTTTGAGAGTTTCTCCAAAAAACTTAACGATATTAGTAGGAACCGTTTATCAAATCCAGACAACGGGAGGTCCATCGAATGCAGAAATTGAGTTCGCCGCAAAAAATAATGATATTCTGAATGTCGAACGCAACGGTATATTTGAAGGGAAATCAGTTGGGCAAACAAAAATAACTGTTAGAGCTATTGGACTTAATGCGAAAGGGAATAAAGTAATTTATTCTGAAGACTATGCCGACATACATGTGTTATATCTCGAAGGAATAAAAATTGTGGTTCCAACAAGTAGAGTAAAAGTTGGTGCAACATTTCCCCTTTGGGCTTTTGGTATCCCAGAATATTTAACACCGCTCATCATAGGATCTATGCAATTGCCATTAATTTTCATGTGGTCTTCGAGTGATTCTAATTTAATAACTTTACATAATATGTACAAAGGGACTGGTATTAATATCAGATATCAGAATGAAGTGTCTTTAAGAGCCAGGGCTGTTGGTCCTGGATTGGCAACTATTTATTTAAATGTTACAATGCCATCTAACATGTTGGCTGGTTTCAAAAGCGATATAACGTTCACTACGTTTGTGAAAATTGAAATTTTTGAGGAGTTACATTTATCGCATCCCGAATTACCATCTACCGTACCAGTAATATTAATGTCCCCGAATTCTGTTCTGAAATTGAAAACAAATCGCGATAAGTATGGTTCAACTATTTACAAGGTATTATCAACCGCGCATGGAAACGACTCAGAAGATACACATGCTTTAACTCCAGCATCTAAGACTGTAACTATTGACAAGAATGGTGTTATAAAGGCCGGCGAGAATTGTGGAAAAATAGTTATTTCTATTACAAATACCGAAGCATATAACTTGAAACAATCAATGATCATTATTATTGAGGTAAGATTTGGTTTATACTTTTAAATTAAAATTTACTAAAGTGCAGAGATGGTTTTACTATAATTTCTTTTGTTACAGATTAAACCAATTCATTACATGATGTTGTCATTAAAAACGATTTTGCGAATTCGAAATGGCGAAGAATTGAACATGTTACCCAAGGGTATGGAGTTGGACTATGCACTAGAATATTATGATAACGTTGGAACGAAGTTCCATGCTGCTGCAGTTAATGCTAAAATTATGCTTAATCGTGCTGACCTGGCCGTGTTTACTATAAATACTGAAAACGTCGTAACCGCAAAATTCATTGAAAACGGAGACCTTGTTGTAAAGGCGTTTAATGAAAAATATCCTAATGGGATGTTCGATTATGTACACATGATGATTGGAGACATAGTCTTTCCGACGAAGGTATTATATAGAAGCTTGTATTGTTTTTTTTTATCTGTCACAATGTTTTATTCTTTGCATATACTATTTTTTAGACAACGCTTACTGTGGGTGATATAGTATGTTTCTCAATGCCACTTTTGTCTCCTGAAGGTGATCCAGGTTATTGGCAATCTTCAATTCCTGAGGTATTAACAGTAGATCCTATTACAGGAATAGGAAGAGCAAAAAATGTGGGTTATGCAGTTGTAAAACACAGTCTTGCAACTCACATGCAAGGTGAAATAGAAGTGAATATTCAACCTATTGCGAAGGTACCGTTTGATTTATGATTGAATTGTTGCAAAATTCCTTATCTGTATTGTAACTACCTTCACCTTGTCGTTACAGGTGTCTATTGTTCCATTGAGAGGTCGAAATATTACAGGAACCGAAATATTTAGCGTTCCTCTTGTTCTTAAGAGCAAAGACGAGCAAGTTAAAGAGAATAATGTATTATCTAGGGGTTTGGGCGGATGTAGAACATTTACTTCGTTTACTTTAAACTCATTTCCCTACACATGTAACATGCAATTAGTTTCATCCACTTCATCTGTGGGAGTTAAAGATTTATTCCTTGTTAAACCACGATTTGATATTTCAACTGGTTGGTATTTAAATTCGAAAAGTGTCGACATAATTAACATACAATATTCGTTAGCATATCTTGGCTTGCAGGTTTCTACTATTGCGATGTAATACCTATGGGTTCTCCAAACATAATTTCCAGTACGTTAGAAAGTCGCATTCAAATAAGTGCACAAAGTAAAGACATTGAAGCTGTGCCTTTGGAAGTAGCATATCTACCTCCTGTTTATATTGACGCTAAAGAAATTGTTTTTATTAACACACATTCTCAAACCATTCCAACCGCAACACTTGAAATATACGGCTTGCAGTCTGTGTTAGATCATCTTACAGTAAGTTAAATACTTCATAAAGGAAGGAATACATTTGAAAACATACCTTTTCTTATTATTAATGCTTTTCAGATTGATGTACCGAATGGAATGACTGTAGCCGCACGACAGTATATTTCAAAGTCTACAATGCAATATAAGTTGCGATTAATGCATAATCACGATGAAATTCAAGGTCAAAAAGTTATCGTTACAAACGATATAACAAAGCAGAATATATCTGTAAGTAAATGAAAGGCAAGTACCAAAATTACTAATTCTCTGTAGTAACTCATATTTTTTATTCAGCTTTACGTACGCGTTACGAAGTATGAAAATTTCATACCATTATCTGGAATTCATTGGGTGGATTATATGTACTTCCATCGTTACACTTTCGGAACATTTGCAGTCATTGTAATAACATGCTTTTACAGTATGTATTTTCTTAAATTTATTTTAAACGATTCACATTTTTCACATATGTGTTTTATTAATATTTTATTTCTTTTTGTTGCAATAGTATGGAAGAATAAGATGGCAAACATTGATTTAAACATAAAGAATCGAGCAGTTTTTGGTATGTAGTTCATTGTTGCAAAACAATTAATTGTTAGATAATTCATGTTTCACTGATAAAGATAATATTAATGTGTGTTTTAGCTGATAAATGTCCACCGCAGTTAAAGAAAACTAGTACCCCATGTTCGACTATGAACAGTACAAATATGTCTACTCCGCGAACTCCAGTAACACCGATAAGACCATTTTCGGCGTTTGATCCAGTTTATGGCGATCCTCGTGGTTTTTATTCGGCAAGCAAACGAAACAGATCGCTGAACACTTAATTAAAATGATAAGAAAGGTGTCATTTTCAATGTAAATGTACATTGTACTTATAACGGAACTATCATGTACTCACTAGTTTCATTTTGAAACAGATATGCGATCGTCAGAAACTGGTGCCTTATTGCCACTGAAACTTACTTCATTTAGAAAATTAATTAAAGATTTTTACGTTATTTCTTAGCGATAATAGCAACAACTATTAATTTACGGATATATAAGAGTATGTACATTCTGTAACATAAAACTTTAAGTTTTACAATTTTATACTTTGATAGAATAATCGATGCAGGACTTTAATACAGGTATATTTCTAGGATACGTTGATTATATTTCCTTTATAAATTTGAGGTATATGGTTCCTAGTCATATAGCTAATAATTTACGTAATTACGTAATAACGTAATTAATATAAATTTAATTACACCGTACTCGTGACTTTGCGTGACGATGCAAATGTGGCAGTAGTGATTTCTTATTTTTTTCATTGTGTAACATTATTATACTCTAGTTTTTATAATCCAGGCAGTTGCATAATTTATATAATATTCTAATATATTGGCACTGCATCATTTTTATTTTTATGTGCTTTATTACAACATGTCTGTTTTAACGATTAAGTAATTTCCAATATATTTTGCTATAAATGTTGATGCAACATAAATATAATTCTCGTATACATATTAAGATAGGAGTAGACAATCTTAATAAGTTAATTATATAAACGTCATGTAAAATTTAAAATATGAGAATTAAAACATTTTGTAGTACTTTTTAGTAATATTTTGTACTTGTACTTGTGTTTAATCTATTAAGTGTTTTAGTGGTTTGAAACAACCACAAGACTGATTTAAGCATAGTGGCCTGAATCTTTTATAAATAATATTTATTATAAAATTAGATGTACATGATGGAACAGTCAGGTTTTTCTTTTACAATTGTGTGGAAAAACAACCTCCTTCAGATGACTTAGAACAAGTTGGCATGATTAATGTTTTTTTGATGTTTTTAGTAACTTCTCGTATTTACTTTTGCTAGAGTACCATAACATGAAAGGACTAGCCAACGAAGGTAATGCCATCACAGCAAATGCTGCCCAATCGATCTGAAAATAAGTTTCTTATAGTTACCTATATTGATAATACATATGTTTAGCTAAAAGTATACAATTACTTACAACATGAGAAGAAAATTGTTTATCGTAATCTCTGAATGATACAATAATTGCTTCACCAGGTTCACTGCTTAGAGCAAATTGTAATCTAGGTGCATCCTCTTTAGCTTTGTACAAAATTTCTGCAGATGTAAAATTGAAATATCCGTATTTGCGTGGCCTCACAACAACAATATGGCTGACGTTTGTATAAGGTGGAACACGATCTATCCTTGCATTCAGTTCCCCGCTCACATGAGTAAAATGATCAGGATGGAAAGAGTTATCTGTGATTTCTACTTCTAATGCAGCTGAATTCCCAACATTATGAACCGTGTACTTGAAATAAGAATATTGTTACAGTACATCACATAGATATTAAAGATTAGTAAGACTATGAAAAAACATATTTTTATATTTACTTTGATTACAATGTCCATATTCTCAACAAGGTATTTGTTAAGTAGCTGTTTAGATACCAATAATCTTGCAGCTTCTTCTTCTTCTTCTGCGTGTATGGTAAAGACTAAAGCAGCAAATGCTGCAAATACTATATGCCACTTCATGCTGAAACGTTAAAAAAAATCTGTTTAATAAAATATTTTCACTTTAGTTATTGACGTAGATACTGATAATATGTTACTTTTAGCGAATACTACGACAATACTTATACAATGTAATTACAGATTAAAATATGACGTATGAAATTGTACTAACTTTATTCACGAAAAACCGATAATTTATACTATTCGAGAAAATTGAACGCTTTAATTCATTACTGAAACATTTGAAATAAAAACTTAAATTTGCTTGAAAAGTATTTTATAGAATCTTAACTAAGGTTCTACAATGAGGATGTCAGATTTGATTATATATTTATCAAATAATTTTACTGTTTCATTAGATTTTACCTTGTACGATGGAACTCGTGTCACTCACAACAACGAAACAATCACACCATAGGAACAGTTGGAGAATACATTTGAGAGAAGTGCCAACAGCACACACTTTGCTGCCACGTTTCGATGAAGGAAAACACCCGTTGTATGAACGATCAACTTCCGGTAATGTGTGTTTAATAAAATGGCGGCCAAAACAAATCGATCTGTCAATGAATATTTACATAAATTCTATTGATAGAGGAAGAAATATTTAATAAACATGCTGACGTTATAAAGTAAAACTTCAATAGGAGAACATAATTTATATCAATCGTTTTTACTGTTTCGTAATATTATTGAGAAACATACATTTCTAAATAAATTAGTTGTCGTATCAAACAACTTTGTAATTCTGTGTAGTTTTAATATTTATAATATTGTATCAATCTGTACCATTGCCAACATACTTTAAATAATGGCTGTGAAAGTGTATCAATCAGATCAAGAATTAGAAACAAAAGTTAAAAAAGGTTATAATGCTTTTAGATAACATTTTTTATTATCATACACATTTAGTTATAGTTTATTATTATACTTGTTACTGATCTATCTTTTATTTCTTTTGTAGCAACTGAACGAATATCCGAGAACATGCATATAGTTGCGAATGAACCATCTCTTGCGTTTTATAGGCTTCAAGAACATGTAAGAAAAGCATTGCCACCTATGGTAGAAAAACGTGTGGAAGTATTAGCTCTTCAGCAACAGCTTTTAGGTAGATGTTACGATGTGGAATATGCTGTTAGTGCTATTAAAACAATGCATGGTGCTGGCAAAAGTTTTGAGAATACCTTAGAGTTTATCAAGAGTGCAATATTCTTTAAGCAACAATTGAAATATGAGGAACAACGTAGACATAAGAAGGATAGTAATAGAGATTCTGTATATAAAAGATTGTCTGCGCACATTCCTACCTTAGATCACTTACCAGATGAAATATCTGATGTTGTAAGGGAAACTGCAAACAGAGTGGAATCTATGATGAACCATGCAAGACACTCCAGTGATACGCAAAAATCAAATTGAAATAAAAGAAACAAATTGGTATTTTGAGTTATTATAATATCATTTCGAAATATATGGATACAAATACTACTAATAATGTATATTAGAAATAATTTATTTGTGAGATAACAAGCATGTGAGGTAATATATGAGATATTAGCAAAACAATGTTGTTACTTTTTGTACTATAAATATTAGTTATTACATGCAGATGAACATTTTCATATTTTTCAAGTATTTAATATAATTTATTTTACTATACACTTCAGTCATTATTATGTATACATTTTTCTTCATTTCATTATATAAGTGGTAAGAGGAAAAAGTATTTATAGATTATTAAATTTTGATGTGAATAACTTTTAACTTAATTCATTATAAATAGTAAAATATTCTATTTAATGTTATTTTCTATAAATAATTATTACTAATTCGTAATGAATAAAGAAAGCTTTTATTACGTAAAAAAGCAAAAAAACTTTTATACGTGTTTATGTTATAAAAATGATTTATCTTATAGGATCTCTTGAAAGAAGAAAGTAGTTCGCATGGTATGTTTCAGATGTCGTTGAATTCGTATTAGAGAGTGCAGTATGCTGTCGAGAAAGACAGTGTGTAAAATGTTAATTGATACGTGAACTTGTGATAGAAAAAGCAAAATACGAATTGGCTGATATGCAGATTTCTAAAGGATGATGCCTGTCAGAAACATATTTTAATTACGTTCGGACAAGTTTTACGGTACGTTGATTATTTCGGCATTCTCATTCTTCATAGGTTATGCTTATATCTGGTGTTTGCATAACTTCATTCATTTATCAAAATTAATCTTGCTATTTACAATTGTTTAATCTTCTAACCATAACTGTTTCCCAAAGATTTATATCCGTATCATATTACACAGATATCCAAAAACGTTTGATATTTTTCTCACCTAAGGAACTAATATTTTTTTACTTATATACATACATTATATAGGACACTATAGACATATATATATATATATATATATATATATATATATATATATATAT